GCGTAATATTTATACAGCCGTTTTACAAATGAAGGAATAGAACCTTTGAATGACAAGGTTCAGACCCTTGTCTGATGTCACACAGGAAGTAACAGTGTGTGTGTGTGTGAGAGAGAGAGAGAGAGAGAGAGAGAGAGAGAGTGTGTGTGTGTGTGTGTGTGTGTGTGTGTGCGTTTACGAGTGTGCATGCTGCTGGATAAATCTAAGTCTTTGAGCCTTGGAATTCAATATTTATTGGTCTCAATCTCGTGAGTAAACTGCAAAGTCTCATAGAATCTTTCTAAAATGAATAGGAGCTGCAGGGTTAAGTTCTTTTTAAAGAGTTGCAAGTTAGCTTTCTGAGAGTTTTTCTCTGTTCTATTTACAGGAAACTGCTAGAAGGCGAAGAGACACGTTTTAGTGGATCGAGTATTTCAGGGCTGAATCCACTTCCCAACCCAGGTTATCTGCTCCCACCCAGAATCCTCAGTTCTACAACCTCCAAAGTCTCAGCCACTGGGCTGTCTCTTAAGAAAGAGGAGGAGGAAGAGGAGGAAGAGGCTTCTAAGTTGGCCTCTAAGAAAACCTCCCAGATAGGAGAAAGTTTTGAAGAAATATTGGAGGAGACAGTGATATCTACCAAGAAAACCGAGAAATCAAATATAGAAGAAAGCACCATTTCAAGCCAAAAAATATAATTCTGTTGCTTAAAAAAAGTTAATGCTTGAGAGGGGATAATATGCATTTGACTTGTTAAACAGCCTATTCCTAAACCAAAACACCTGTCACCACCATAAAATGTCTTCAAGGCTTCAGTCTCATATTTAGCATTGAATACTTACTTTCTCTAATATGAAAACCGCCCCTTAGATTGGAGGGAACTGCAGTCATAGAGCCATCACAGAGGAGTTATCTAAGAACACAGCTTTCTTACCTAAAGCTCAGGCTTTACAGTGATAGATGAGTCAGGTACAGAGGAAGTACAAAGGTGCTAAATCTGTGATCATCATCAGTTGCTGTGAATTGAAATTAAAATCTATATTCACTCACTATAACCAGCCGTTACCCAGCTATGTAATCTCACTCTAGATACCTAAAATATGAGATCACTGCCAAAGATAAACCCATGGTCCACCACTGACACTACTCTGATACAACTGCTTCACAAATGGTACGTGTTTGATTAATGGACACTTTTCCTCCCACGCCCCTCAATTCCATAGACCCCTTTCTTCCATTCTGGGGGGCGGAAAAAAGGCTAGTGTAGTATTCTTCCCTTTTAAATACATTTAGGTTCTTCTCAGAAGAGCTTACCCCCTTTAGCTCTATTTGCTTGATGGGCAAAATTAAATGCATGTTGACCATTTCTATGATTTTGTGTAATGACTTCACCCTGCCCATTTCGTATCCTTCCGATTCTGTAGGTTAAAGAAAAATGGCAGTGATAAGTTCAGAGGGTTGCCCCAACAAATAAAATAATGGAAAGAGTCCCTAGATTTTAGGCTTTCAGCTTATCAAATCCATTTAATTAGGGAGAAAAAAAATCCTACTCAAGAATATAGCTTTTCACCTTAATGTTAGAAATACAGTAATAGTTATCCCAAGCTGTGAGTAAGCTGACCTTAGATTTAGTCATGTAAGCTAGAAGAGGTGCGTATTTGTATGAATGGAAACAGTGAAGGTCTCATTTATCTGTGTCAGTTCATTTGTGGTGATATAGAATTAGCTATTTCACACCCTTATCCTTAGGCAGAACCCACATATCCCCTTCCCACTAGTCTAGGTCCTAAAGTGGCCTTGTTTTCACTCTCCTATGCCTTTTAAGAGTGCTAAGTGTAGATTATGTCACTACCAGGATACAATGCTACTGCCCCAAAGCAAAATAAGTCACTTCTGGTCAATCAGCACCACCAGCAAATATAAAAAAGAAATACTTCTCTTTCCTAAAAGAGACTTGCCCAACAGTTTTCCCATTGCTGCATGGTTGGTGGGTCTTCCTTCCCTGCTGGAGAGGAAAAGACACTCAAACCAGAGAAGGGGCATACATGTTCCTACTCACATGCTAGAAGTACATTCTGGAGCGTTGACTTTTCATCTGCCCACCTGTGTTGCGGATGCATTGCCTGGTCTTCCACATTTGCCAGTTTTGATGCAGGATCAGTTCTCTGCCAGCAGTCACTTCCCCCAGAGCTAAAGAGTTGCCATGTCTCTGTCACACTTCTCCATTAAGAGCTCTGTGGTAATAAGGATGTGATGCTTTTACCGAACTTTCATATCCTAGCACATGCTTCCATAGTTCGAGGAACTTGAAAGTTGCTTTTCTTCCTTTCCCTGACTCCATCCCTGTCTCGACTCCCCACACTTACTCTAAAACCTTAGTAAAATAAGAATTAAAAGTCACATGAATCCCACCAACATAACTTGTGTTCTGTGGTTTCTGCTGCTTTAACAGAGAGAAATGCCATTTTGGTTCAGTGAGACAGTTGCACCCCAAATAATTCAGAAATCTTATGTTCTCTGCTCCATGCATCCACATTTACTTTTTTTTTCTTTTCTTTCCTCCCTGACAAAGCCTTGAGGCTATAGTCTGCATTTGTTTCAGACTGGTCTGAAACACATAATGAACTAAGTGAATAGTTCATGGCAGGGAGTGGGGAAATCAAATCGATCAAATGATGAAAAGACAATGCATTTGGTGCCTGGATAGTGATTTAACTAGCTCAATTTGGTGAATGTTTCTGAGAATGAACTGGTAGAAGACACACGATAAAAAGTCCTTCAAAACAATAAGAATCTTTTCCTTCTTTGAAAATGCGGTTATATTCCTGCAGAATCCAGATATTTAGGTAGAACATAGGCAGCAGTAATAGAATTTTCCTCTACTGTAATGATTCTTAACCTTTCATGGGATTATAGAGCTATGGAGAAAGCTATGGACCCTATCCCAGAAAAATATACATACACAAAACTTTGTACAGCTCAAGGGGCTTGTGACTCCTCTAGGATTACCTACTTCTGGTGTCCAGAAGTCCATGAATGCCAAGTTTAGATTCCCTAATGCCATGCCAGGTGCTAGGATGGAAACTGCAAATGAGGAGCTATATGGATGCAACTCACAGCTGATGCTGATGGTTGAAGCTGGAGCCTACTGAATCCTGAACAATACTGTCATTCTCAGTCCATCTGGCTGAGGGCACTTGTAAGCCACTCAAAGATACATTAATGGCACTGCTGGTGAAAAGAGTTCTGTTGTGCACTAACAATGCGAGTTTTACAGTCATCAAAACATCTTTTAGGGCCTATTAAGGAACAATAGTCTCATTAATACATGCGTTTGCCATGTAGACATTGGTTGCTGCTTCTATGACTACTATTTAGTTAATGAATCCTTCTCTGTGCCAAACCAGAGTCCTTTTATTACATTTATATAATCTCTGGCTCTAATTCGTATCTCCTATTTTCCATGAGTTGCCAGTAATTGTCATGAGCTCATTTATAAGACATTAAAAGCATCTTATGGAGTTGATAAATTATTAAATCAGAATAATTACCGTAACAGGGAAACATGGTGCTCAGAATCATAAGGCAGGGAGGAAAAATGAAGGGGAGCAAGCAACATCCACAGTTACCACAGAATAGGACAACAGTGAGTCTGAGATGGTGGAGAAGCCTGTCCGCAAAGCACATTAATGATGTCCAACGTGACTCTTAGATTCATTACACAATGGGGTCCCTTGCATCCTGAGACTTACTAATTATAATTACAACTATAATTTATTCAGTACCCTGTCAGACACTGTACTAGGTGGTGACCATGGAATTATTTAAAGCTCACAATCACTCTGTAAGCGTAATATTTATACAGCCGTTTTACAAATGAAGGAATAGAACCTTTGAATGACAAGGTTCAGACCCTTGTCTGATGTCACACAGGAAGTAACAGCTGGAACTTGGTCTCTGACTCTGCAGTGCTTGCTTTTCTTTCCTATGTTGCCTCTCTACATAAAGGAAAGTCCCCTCACTTGAAGGAATAGAAATCTTTTTATCTTCTTTTTCACCCTTCCTCACCAGGTTTCACTGCCCCAGAAACCCTTGGCAATACAAAGTCTTTTAAGCAAACTGCTACATTTTGCAGACTCCTGCACCTACTGCCTTCCTGTATTGCAGTGAGGTGGTGGCAGCTCAAAACTGGGCTCTGCGCCCATCCAACTATGAGTCACCTCTGCTCCTGCTAAAACTTAAATAGAATTGAGTGCTATTTACCTATTTTTTTTAAAGTTAAAAAAAATAATTTTGCAGGCGGCCAGTTAGCTCAGGTGATTAGCGCACAGGCTCATAACACCAAGGTTGCCGGTTCGATCCCCACATGGGACAAGGAGCTGCGCCCTCCACAACTAGGTTGAAGACGACTTGACTTAGAGGTGATGGGTCCTGGAAAAACACACTGTTCCTCAATAAAATTTCTTTAAAAAAATGATAATTTTGCAAAGGAATTCTGTAACTCAAGTATCAAAGGGCCTGAAAACGAAGGAATATTACAGAATGGACAATTCCTCAAGAGGTAATAAATCATTTTACTGTACTGGCTAAAGAGGGGGCAAAAATTGAGCAATTATCTGGAAACTAGAGTCCAAATTTTAGATCCAGAGATAATGCAAATAACATATAGTCCCAGAGATAAACTTCTAGAACTTACCTGTGAATAGGAGCAGGGAGCCCAGGACCACCATTCATGGCTCTAAAGGCAAACATAAAACAGTTTTTTAAAATCATTTAAAACTCCATTGTAACAGAAAGCAGATGGGTAGTTAGTTGCCAGGACCGGAGTGTGGGGGAGGGGCAATAGGAAGTTACTATTAAATAGGTTGGGGTGATGGAAATGTCTGCAACTAGATAGAAGTGGTTGCTGCACAACAACATTGTGAATGTACTAAATGCCACTGGATTGTTCACTTTAAAATGATTCATATTTTGTCATGTAAATTTAACCTCAATTTTAAAAAGTCCACTGAAATTTATGGCACTATCAGAAAAATATAATTACAAAGTCTACTATACCTTCTGCTCCAGCTGAGACCATTATGCACAGCCACCTGGGTCAATCCCCGTTAGAAGGAATTCCATTAGGACAACATAAGCCAGATCTAATAAGAGTATTGATTTCAAAACAGAGCCTGAAGAAAAAACCCAAAATCTCCTTGAGTGTAAACAAAAGAAAGAATAAATGGCTAGAATGTTGCTTGCTCATGAGCACTCATCACTGATTTCCAATTAATATTATTTTTACTATTATACAATCAGAGATCTCCAAGGTTTGGAAAATCATCTAAATCATAAGAATGCATTTTTTTCTTAGTGTACCTGAATAAATTGGTGTACCTGAAAGCACAGTAATTTAAAGCAGAAATGAGGGGGCTCTTTGTAGTACCTTCAAATAGAGCTCAGATGTGAAATTGTATTTTTTTTTTTTATGGAACATACATTACTGGTTTTGCTGCCAGTAATGTATGTATAAATTTAATGTACAGGTTAGATTGATATCATTATGCCTTTTGCTATTTTCAAATAGCTCATGTGGATGTGCCATTTGCAAATGGGTGAGTGCTCTTGAATCCAGTCAAACAAAGGACTGTGTTTATTACATTACCATGTTCCACTGCACACCCTTAAAGGATAAAAAGAATGGTTACTGTGAAGATCAAAAGGCTTCTTTCCTTTTCTATCGATCTAGAAGATGATTAGATTGCCCTCATGTTTTATGCTGATACGTATTTCACAAGCTTACTAGATGGGGTGGAGACTAGCTAAAATGTACAAATTCTTTTTTACAGTCCCTTGAAACACACACACACACACACACACACACACACACACACACACACACACCAGCACTGTAATACAACTGAGTGAGTCACACTGCAGACATTTAAAGGTTTATGTTTTTATACTGCTTCAGTAATTCTGAATAAAATAGAGAAAGCTCATGCTACAAAGAAAAATGAAGATTGATCTTGGAGAGGTCTCCAGGCTCACTTCCTCATCACTATAGATCACCACATGGATACTCATCTCCCCTGAGGAGGCCAGTGGTCTCTGTTGTGTGTAAGCCTGAGGCATTTCATTCTCTCTCTATCACGTGCTCTTAAAGGTTATAGAATGCTCAGCACAGTGTAACCAAAATCATTAGAATAAAGTCTGAAGTTTGGGAATACAATTAGTAGCAGGTTCTAGTCAATCGCTGATTATTGCAAAGGGCAAAAAAAAAAACATTTTTCCTTAGAAGTGCTTATTAAAACAAACTCAACTCCCTAAGGTTCATCTGCTACACCATAAGTATAAATAAATGAGAGGTGTAACTTGCCATCTCCCATGATTCCCTGGCATAAGGATTCATACACGACATATAGAATTCCTGATGTCCCTTAGGGCTAGACAATCTTTTATATTTATCTTAAACCAGGCTTGAAATCAACAGAAGGAACTCCTTTCTGGCAACTGAAATGGTCTGTCCATGAACTAACCCAGTCTGCAAAGTAGAAGCAGCAGAGCCAAGACTAGAATTAGGGTGAAAGCAGAATCTTGGTACAACTTTAGAGCCTGTACCTCCACCCTTCTCCTGGTTATTCACAGGAGGTGAAGAGAGTAAACATGTAAGAAAGGAAGGAAAAAATAAGTAGTTTAACATCAATCTTTTAACATTAATGGACCCCCTTTATTCATCAGAAAGGAACTAACTCAGCAAAGTAATTTAAGAAGTGACTGCATAGGGATCATATTTGAGCTTGATAACAGATTGCATGTCAGCCACTGTTCTGAATATTTTACCTATTCATTAATTCTCATAATAAGCCTTTGAATTAGATACCATTGTCCCCATTTACAGGTAACAAAAACTAAAGCTCAGAGAAGTTACATAACATGCCCGAGATCACATAGCTTGCAAGTAGCAAAGGCGGGAGTCAAAGCTATGCAGTATGGCTTCACAATTCATGTCCTTAACCACTATGCAATACTGCCTCTATTTCTTTGAGGGGGAAAATTCCATTCCTGGCAAACTTTGTCTTCTCTATCTTTAAAATATTATTTGACCAGCTTGCCTCTTGGGAAAATGTTTTCTTAGAAACAGGAGAAGAAAAAATCTTTTCTCATTTAAATGAAAATAGTATCACACTAAGAACCTTATAAAACCACAGACACCATCAGAACAAAATCAAAGTGCAGTAAAGATCAAACCATAATATCCATATTATATAAGTAAGTACTTGGCAAGCTTTCAGGAGATCAATGTGGCATTTCATTTATCAGTGAACTATTAATCTTTAGAGGTAATAAAACTTAGATTTCATCGGTCCAGTTTTAAAGAGAGGCAAATAATCAGACTCATGTACACAACAACATATTGAGAAAGGAAAAAAAAATG